GCTGGGCGAGGGGTACACGGGTTGGAATTGAGCCCCCACTTTTGCAATGCACCACTTGCGTGATGGTACTAGAGTTGGCTTCAGTCCCTGAGGGGCATTGAGTCACACCTCGGAACCCAGGAGACAGGATTTCTTGTGCCAGGGCCATTTTCCCACACGAAGCCTCCCCTCCCATCAGTGGAGGCTACCCTGAGAAACGACTCAGCCAGAGCCCAAGATTCAAGGGCCATAGGCTGTCATCACGGTCCTGTCTCCTGGTGGAATGACTGACATGTCTGTGCCCATTGAATCATGCTGTCACTTTTGACTGTTTAAAATATTGTCATAGAACAAACAAATCTGCAACCTAGCTTTTTATTTACGTAGCTTGATTTATGCACTTCTGGAATTCCTGTGATTTTCCAGCAGTGCATTTTTTTCTTGGCGGTTGAAGGATAGTACTTGTTCCCTTATTTTCGTGTGCCCCTGACACCACATTTGTGATATCCACTCAGGAAGCTAAATAGAAGGACTGGGAACGAGGGCTCTGGAATCAGACTTGCTGAGTTTGCCTCCCAGATCTACTTCTTACAAGCTGTGTAGCTATGAGCAAATGACTTAACCTCTCTGAGCCTCCATTCCAAACAGTAGTGCCAATACTGTTGGACTGTTGTGGTCACGAATGTGATGATTCCTGTAAACCACTTAGCACGGTACCTGGCACTAGGAAGAATTCAATAAATGGAGACATTATCATCTTCATCACTGACTTATCATACTTCCCTTCTCCACCACAAATCACCTACTAAGCTTTCAGGTTGTCCCTAGCACAGTCCTTCGGAGGACTGTGCTTCGGAGTGGCCTTCTGGGGTCTGTCCCATCTGCAGGTGGTGATGGTACAGACAGCAGGTTACTGACCTCTCCCAAGAAGGATCTTGGAGGTAAGCGCTTTATGCACAGCACAGTTGGACTGACCAGTGCTGAGCCAGGGACCTCACTGACCTGGTCCTGTGGGGACTGGACAGTGGCCACAAGGAAGCAGCGACCAGTAACCTTGTCTAGATTGGCCAAGCAGGCCGAACAGGACTCAGTCCAGTTTCTCTAGGCACAGGCTCGCCTTTCGGGTTTTGAGCCCACATCTGTACCTCTTTGCACAGCTTTGGGAAGATTACAACCTACTTTGAAGGAAGATGCTTGAAAAATCAGGAAAGTGCACCCTCCAAGGACCCTTCCAGCCCTGACAGCAGCTCCAAGCTCTTCTGGGGTCTTCCTGTGCCGGATGCTCAGCTCTGCTTTCCAATCCCCTGTGCATCAGCCACCACCCCCACTCCCATCTCCCACCCCACTTCTCCTGCACATTCTTAGGGCCTCGCAGAAACCTTGGCCTTTGGTGGGTCTATAATGCACCTGACATCAGGTGAACGAAGGAAGGAGTAAATGACCCAATGATGACGATGATGATGATGAGGGTGAAGATGGTGGTGAAGATGGCTACCATTTCTGAGCTTTTACCACGTGCTAGACTTTGTGCCAAGTGCTTTACTCGCGCTATCTCATTTGACCCACCAACAGTCCTAGGAGGTGGGTGCTGTGATTATCCCCACTTCACAGAGGAGGATACTGAGGCTGAGAGGTTCACAGCCTGCCCAAGCTCAAACACTTCGTTAACAGCAGAGCTGAGATTGAAGCCGGGCGCCTGACTGCAAACGCCATTCTCCTAACCACTATGTTGTATGCAGTGCCTCCAGTGATAACTAAAAATCTTCATGGCCCCGAGGAATGACAGTCTTAGGGAGTTTCGGGCGAGAGGCTGTCTTCAGACAAGGTTGTTCTGAGGGAAGGTGTTGACTGGGGGAAAGGGGCAGGTTAATGATAATGACCGTCATGATGCTATGCTCTATTTCATCATCACAATCCTAGGAGGTAGGTATCATTTCCATTTTCCAGATAAAATGGAGCTTCAGAGTGGTTGAGCAACATGTCTAGGGTCACACAGCAATGAAGCAGCAAATCAAGGATTTGAGCTGTAGTCAGTCCAAAGCCAAAACACACTGCCGCCCATTTTACAGCTGGGAATGAGAGGGAGAGGGAAGTGTGAACAGGAGGAGGCAGTGTTGACCTGAGACAGTTGCAGTTGTGCAGCAACACACACACTTACACAGAGTCACATACACACATTCACACACTCGCAGACACACACACTTACACACATATTCACACACTGAAACAGACTCACCTACACATATTCACATACTCACACTTAGACTCACATACACACACACATAGACACACACATTCACACACTCACACAGACTCATACACACATTCACACACATACATGCATTCACACAGTACATACTCTCACATGCACTCACACACATTTACACACATTCACACACACACATTCACACAGTCACATACATGCATTCACACACACAGACACGCATTCACACACACACATTCACACATACACATGCATTCACAGACATTCACACACTCCACACACTGTCACATACACTCACATACATGCATTCACACAGACTCCACACTCTCACATACACATTCACACACATTTATACAGATATACACATTCACACACTTACACACATTCACACACACACCTACACAGACTCACATGCATTCACACATACTCAACACACACATACACACATTCACACACACAAACATACACATATTCACACACACATTCATACACTCACACACATTCACACTCATATGTACACACTCCACACACCATCACACATACATTCACATACACTCATACACACACACATTCACACATTCTCACACTCCCATTCACTCACACACACCCCACACACTCTCACACACTCCCCTCCTTCCACCGGAGCCGGCCACCTCTCTAGGAACCATAGAATCTTACAGTCAGAGGTCACTCCCAACCCCCTCCATCACACAGCTGGGGGGTTGGAGGCCTGCAATGGGCAGGGGCTGCCTAAGGCCACACAGCGAGGACATTAGTAGGTCAGGGACCAGGGTTCAACCAGGGCTGCTCCAGCCAGCCCTGTGCTGCGTCTTCTCTGATGCTGGCCGGGGAGCCTCTGGCTGCTGTTTGAACAGGGAAAGGGAGGTGCCTTCTGGGTATAAATAGCAGATGAAGCTGCTTCTCTCTGGCAAGAGAGTTAACCCTTGGGGCCCTGGGCACGGAGAGAGGCTTCCCTGCCTGGGGAGAAGGCGTGTTGGCTGTCAGAGTTGGAAGAGTCCATAGCGGTTGCCTAGGCCCTGCTCCTCCGTGTGTTCTGTGAGTCAGCAGGCTTGGCATCTCCTCGAAGCGTTTTAGAACTGCAAAATTCCAGCCCCATCCCTGGCCCACTAAGTCCAAGTCCACCTTTTCACCAGGTGCCCAAGACGCTGCATCAGACAGCTCTTCCCTCATAAGGATGGGGAAAAGCGAATAAGAGAGGGTGGTGTTCCTGCCCAAGGTCACACAGCCATTCACTGACAGAATTAGCTCTCAAAGCCACACTTCCTGCCCTCAGGACTCAGGACGCTGACAGGCAGGGCTGGGGGAGGGGCCAGGCAGTGAGGTGTCATTTCAGAGCCCACCCCCATGGGTGCTGCTGCTCTGGCTCTGTCCCAGCCCACAGTGGCCCAGCCTCTCCTCGCAGCCCGTGCCCGGCCTGTGGGCCAGGGCCTGAGTTGGAGCTTGCCCCTATAGGCAGGCAGGTGCCAGGTCAAGGGAGGAGGGCAGGGCCACGCTGCCAGGCTGAATCAACATGGGGATGTGTTTGGGGAATGGGCCACAGCGGTCAAGGCCATGCGCTTCCCCCTGGCCTATTTTCATCTCTCCCAGAGCTTTAGAAGTTTTCCTGAAACAGCTTTTCCGAAGGAGGCTGCCGGCAGTGTGGGATGGGAGGAAGGGCCTTTCTTCACCCTCCCCCGAAACAAGCTGGCTCTGAGGAATGTGGAAACCATTAAAGACGCCCCCTTTCCCATCTCTGCTGCCTCTATCCCCGGAGAAGAGAGCAGCTGCTCTCCACCCAACCCGCAAACACCCACTTGCCAGGGTGGGCAGGGAGCAGGGCCTGCCCCCCACCGCGCCCCTCTCGTCCTGTAAGGCTCACCGATGTTGGGGTGCTTCAGCAGGCGGCAGATGCGGGCTTCACGCTCCAGCTTCTGATGGTCTGAAACACAGAGGCTCAGGTGAGTCTCCAGTGAGGGAGGAACTGCCACCCTCCATCTCTCCCTCCTCACAGCCTTGTATTATCTCCACCTCCCAGGGCAGCTCCTGGGCGCTGGGAAAGCTCACCTTCTGGCCAGGGCCTCTGAGTTCTCCAGGAAGACCGTGGGGTGCAGGGGAAAGAGGAAGGAAGAGGCCTGGGCTGCAGTGACTCATGCACATTCCTCGCCCTCTCTGGCCTCCGTTTCCACAGCTCTTAAATGAGAGTCTTCTCCAAGACACCTCCAGGCCTGTTTCTCAGGCCCTATACTCTGGCCAGACTGAATGGCTGAACCACAGGGAGACCCTGCTGGGCCCTCTCATTTCGGGACATGCACATGCAATTCTCCTGCCTCAGCCTCCTGAGCAGCTGGGAATCGCACATGCAATTCTCTCAGCTTGAAACACTTCCTCAACCTCCCACCTGCCGCTCACTGGTCATCACTCACTCCTACCAATGCTTAGATGTCTCAAGCCCCTGGCAGCAGGTCCCGACTGCCAGGCAGGCAGGCCCCATCCTTTGTGCTTTCAGAGCCTCTGAACAGCATGTCCCACTCAGTCCCATGGACATCTAGTTCCTTGAGAGCAGGGACTTGGTCCTACACATGGGACTTGGGTAGATGTACCCCTGACATCTACCCAAACACCTGGCACTTAGTAGGTGTTCAATAAATAACTGAATGAAGCTGGGCACGATGGCTCATGCCTATAATACTAACACGTTGGGAGGCCGAGGCAGGTGGATCACTTGAGCTCAGGTGTTCAAGACCAGCCTGGGCAACATGGTGAAACCCCATTTCAACTAAAAATACACAAATTAGCTGGGCATGGTGGTGGGCGCTTGTAATCCCAGCTGCTCAGGAGGCTGAGGCAGGAGAATCACTTGAAAGTGGAGATTGCAGTGAGCTGAGATCATGCCACTGCATTCCAGCCTAGGCGACAGAGCGAGACTTTATCTCAAAAAAAAGCAAGAAGGAACCAAATGAAAAAATAAATGATTGAATGAATGCACCTTTCTAAGGGAGTGGCTATTCTTCCAGAGGGCTGTGTTAATTCCCAGAAGTCACCTCCCTTTCAGGAGACTCTGGGACCGGGACACAGAGACCCCCAAAGAATCTGCAGGGGCCGACCCAGAGCTCCCCCACCTGCCTTCTGGGCTGCCGTGTGAGTCCTCTGGGGCTCCCCACACACCCGGGGGAGAGGCTTTGCTCGGGGTCTGCCACTGTGGCTTCTGATTCTCCTGCTGCTGGGAACAGGAGCCCACATGACCCTACTCGGTGCCCCCAAACAATCCCGGGCTGGGGACACCACTCTCCTCCTTTTATAGATGAGGAAACCGCAGCCTGAACAAGCTGAAGCCTCTGTGGTGGCAAAGCTGGAACTGAAAATTCATTTCTCATTTTCCTTTTTGGTCCTTTTTTCACAATTTGGTAGTTAACACCTTAATTTAACAAACAAAACCGTAAAAAAGAAACCCCTTTTGAAAATCTCTGTGCCAAGCACTGTGCAGAGGGCTTTATATGCCTTTCCAGCCCTCACTGTAATCCTTTGAGGGAGTTACTATCATTTTTCTGGCTTTCCAGAGGAAGAGACAGAGCTTCAGAGAGGCTAAGTACCTGCCCAAACTCAATCCCGCAGTGAGCAGTGGGGCCACGCGTTGTACCCAGAAAGTCAGACTCCAGAGCTGGCTTTCAATCCTGGGCTATACTGTTCTCTGTGCCCCAACTCATAATCACTACCTCCCTTTGCCCCCAACTCCCAAACAGGAAAATTAAAGCCCACAGAAGAAAACTCATGCCAACACCCAGATGTCAAGCCCACGCTAGAACCCTGGCCTCTCAGAGGAGGCAGGTATGCGGGTGGGGGTGGTGAGAATGGAGAAAGTCCCAGCCCTTGTCCCCAGGAACCCAGCTCCCCTTCCCCCTGCCCCCTTCACTACAGCAATCACTGGCTGTCCTCCAAGGGCTGCAGAAGCCAAAATCAATGCTGAAAGGTGGCTTTTCCACCAGCAAAGCAATTAAGTCCAATTCAGTTTCCATGGCTCAACTCTCCAGCTGAAGACCGGCTGCAAGCTGGGGATGAGGAGGTGTGGCCCAAGTTGGGGGGGCATCCCTTGTTCCCCCTCCCTCCGTGGGCTCCTTTCATAACCTCCAGGGTAGGGGGAGGCTGACTCCTGGGCAGAGGAGTGGATGCCCATCCAGAGCTGACCAGGGGGGGCCCTCTGGGGCCCTGCTCCACGCCCTATGCCCTACCCCCCAATCCACCCCCAGCAGAACCAGAACTCAGGCAGGTCAAGGTCAGGCCTGTCGGAGGGGGAAGGGGGCTTCTGGCCTAGGCTATACATTCAGGGTGTGGGAGCTCCAAATCCGGAATTTTGTTGTTTTCTCCCTGTGAGGTTACCCAGGAGCAGAGAACATTGACAGCATTGAAAGAAGGAACTCCCAGCTTGTGCCTGGTTAGCAGACCTCACTGCTGGAGATGCTAGGAACTAATTGTGTAAATCTCATCGTCATCCTGTGCACAGTGCAATTAAGCTGCGTTGTCACTTTTTAAGTGTTCATCTTGAGTGTAAACATATACATTATACAATATTTCTTATAACCCTGTTTGCAATGTTTTCATTTTCTAAGATACAGAGAACCTCAAGACATATAGAGACAATGTTTCTTTTGACCTCAGAGGCTGTGCTCTGTTACATACATGGAGAAACTGAGGCCCATTGACAAAGGAGCAGTCCCTTTATCAAAATCGCTCACCAAAATCACTCTGAGAACTCAGAGCTCTGAAGCCTCTACCCCTGCACCTTCCTCCCAATTGTAGCCAATTGTCCATGTAGCCAGGCTCTCCTTTTTTTTTTTTTTTTGAGACAGAGTCTCGCTCTGTCACCCAGGCTGGAGTGCAGTGGCTCAACCTCGGCTCACTGCTACCTCCACCTGCCAGGTTCAAGCAATTCTCCTGCCTCAGCCTCCCAAGTAGTTGGAATTACAGGTGCCCAGTACCATGCCCAGCTAATTTTTGGAATTTTTAGTAGAGACGGGGTTTCTCCATGCTGGCCAGGTTCGTCTTGAACTTCTGCCCTTGTTATCTGCCCGCCTAGGACGCTCAAAGTGCTAGCATTACAGGCATGAGCCACGACGCCCGGCCCCGCGAAAGAGCTCTTTTTAAAACATCAATTAAATCCTGTCACTCCTTGGCTTCCAGCTCTCCAACAGCTTCCCAATGTACTTAGAGCACAATCCAAGCTCCTCGCCGGGTCCAGCCTCACCTTGGCTAGGAAGCTCCAGCCACACTGGCCTCCTCTGTGGTGTGACACACCAAGCTCCTCCCCACCTCACAGCCTTTGCACCTGCTGTGCCTTCTTCCCAGAAAGCTCTTCCCTGGGTCTTCTCATCAGGCAGGCCCAGCACAATGTCACCTCCTTGGAGAGCTTCCCTGGCTGCCTTTTCTAAGTGTGTCCCTCCTGCCACATCACCTCCCCATACCCTGTCTTATTTTCTTGGTTGACATTTGTCATTACCTGAAGCTACCCAACTGATGGATGTGTTTAGTGTTCTTTTCAGTCTCACTCTCTAGGAAACGGGCACCATGAGAGCAAGACCTTTTCTGTTGGTCACTGCCACATTCCCAGGGCAGGACATAGAGCTGCTAAGCAGCTTGTCCAAGGTCCCGTAGTAAACAAGTGGCAGAGCTGGGATTTCAACCCATGTACATAGTTACTATACTATATTGCTTCCCGTTCTAATAAACTTCTGGTCGCACTGTCATTGCCCAGGCTGGAGTACAGTGGCAGGATCATGGCTCGCTGCAGCCTCCACTTCGGGGGCTCAGGTGATGCTCCCACATCGGCCTCCCTCTCAAATAGCTGTGACTACAGGTGCCCACCACCATGCCCCGCTAATTTTTTGTATTTTTAATAGAGACAGGGTCTTGCCATGTTTCCCAGACTGGTCTTGAACTCCTGGCCTCAATGTATCCTCCCACCTTGGCCTCCCAAAGTGCTGCGATTAAAGGCATGAGCCACCGAGCCCAGCCCCATTCTAATAATTAATTGATGAATTGATCCATCAGCTAATCAGAGTCCCACAATGGTGAGAGGACTGAGGGAAGCTAGAAGTCTTCAGCCTCCTGCCTGGGTACCTGGGGGAGCTTCCCCCAATGTCCATGATAGTATCTTGGGAAACTTCTCCCTTCCTTCCTGGATGGTTGGGTCACCTCCAGGGTTTGGGAGCTAAGGCTCAGCAAAGCTCAGCAGACAGGGGTGGATGGATATTCTGGGGTGAGGTCCCTGGGGCTAGACAGTTCCAGCAGTGTGAGACAGGACAGGGTAGGCCTGACAGTCACTGCAGGCCTGACAGGATGTGCAATCATGCAGATGGGCAGGGCTCTGCCTCCAGAGGGGAGTGGATTTCAGCAGGCAGGCAGCCTGAGATTCCAACAAGAGGCACACAAGCCAGGAGAAAAAGAGACCTCCAGTCTGGGAACAGGGAGTACCTGCCCCCTGCAAAGGACATCCCAGTCCTGGGAGGCCAGAGCACTCATCCCAAGAACCAAGAGTGCGAGGCAAGGGGTGGGGAGGAGGACAGCAGCGATGGGAAGCACGTGTCTGACTGTCCCCTCAGAGGCTTCCTTGCAGGGACCTGAATAACACTCTAGTGCAGGCTAGATGAGCTCATGCTATGCTCCGCACCTGGTGCCCCAAGACTGGCCACTGGGGAGCCGAGAAAGTGACCCCCTCATGCTCAAGCTGGAGAGTGGGGCCTGTGGAGGCCACAGTGCCCAGGCCAGTCGCCTCTGGCTGCACCAGCCTCCTGCATGTGCCCAATGCACCCTTAGCATGCTACCTCTGTGTGCGTCGTCAGGAGGACAAGCTAGGAGACTGTAGAGAACCTGCTGGGGGTTAGTGCTGAGCCTGTATCATTGTATTAGGTTGGTGTTAATGGCTACTGTTACTGATGCCAGAATTTTTTAATGCAGGGACTTGGGCCTCCCTTACTCAATCCAACCTTCATGGGTGGAACTCAGGCAGCTGCGTGTTTTAAAAAGCTCCCAAATGTATTTGGCAGGGATTGGAACGGGCAAAAATGTTACTTTTCATTTCATTTCTTCATAGTTTCTTTGACTTGTTTATACTATGAATGTTTTTAAAAGACTAGATTAAAAATACAAACAAAAATATCTTCTGGGTTTGGGAACCACTTGCTAGAAGAGGCTGGGCAGGGTGGGCAAAAGAAAGCCACAGCTCCCTGGAGGGTGGGCACAGCCCCTGCGGGGTGCTGCCAAAAGTCACCCAGGAGCACCAGCAGGAGACAGAGTGTGTTGCCAAAGATTCAGCATTAAACCCCCTGCCCGCCTCCGAGGCACCATGAGTGGCAAACAAAGACTCCTGCTAAAAGAAGCTCTGCTCCTCCTCTCCCGCTGGGAAGAAAAGTGCCTGGCAGTTGGCAGACTTTGCCAGAAGTTTCTCTGATAACCTCCCCACCCCCGCCATCCACACTCACTTAGGCCGGGGCCACCTTCCTTCCAAGAGGTCAAGGACTCAACAAGTTGCCAAAGAGAGGTGGCTTGGGTAGTGACTGTCTGCATAGCCCGGGGTCTGCACTGTCCCAGGGGAGCTTAGTCACCTGCCAAACAGGAGCCGTGGCCCTTCCACTCTCCCATACACATCTGTCTCTTTTGGTCACTCTGCAAGTGTGTGTGTGGATGTGCCCCAAGGGTGCGGTGAACTAACCCGAGATCCCCAGCATCCAGGACAGCCTTGGTGCCTGACCCTCTCTCCCACCGAAAAAACCTCAGCCCATCACCACCTGTCCCTGCTGTACCTCAGGGATTGGGACATCTCCCTTGGTCACTCAACACCCAATGCACAGAAAGGGCACCAGACCGCTGCTAGTCACACAGCAATGACAAGGCCAATCCAGGCATCTGGCCATGAGGCAGCACCCCTGCCAGCATTCCTGCCCGCCCTGTCTGTAGCTCCCAACCTTCCAGAAGCTTGGACTTTTCACACTGACCGTGGTCCATGTGGGGCTCCTGGTCCTTCAGAGACCCCCACCCTACCCCCAGGCGCGCCTCTGCTGATCCTCTTTGACCTTCAACACATGGGGGAGGTTGGTAACTGGACGAAACTGCTGAGCTCCCAGCAACACAGCCAGAGAAGAAAAGCAGCAAAGAAGAAACACACAGTCCAACACGGGGCCTGCTGGGAGGCCTGCAGGGAGCAGCATGAGCCTCCCGTACCAGCCGCAGTGAGGACCGCCACGAACCTACACCTGCCGGGCGCTGGCCCCATGCAGCTGCGCCTGTCAAACACCTGGACACCACCAGCCCCTCACACAACATCTCCTGCGCTGCACAAACCGTGGACTGTACAGCCCACACCTGCACCCACATCACCCAACAGAATTCTCTCCACCACCTGGCGGTCCCCAGGGAAGCTTATATACCATTTCATTCAGGGTGGGGGCTGCCATCTTTGAAGATAACCCTCTCCAACACACTGACCGTGGTTGCCACCATCACTGTCTTAAACACACAGTAATGGCAAGAAGTGAGTCTCCTGGGCAGGCTTCCCAAATTTTAATGTCCACAATCACCCAGGCATCTTGTTAAAATGCAGATTCAGATTCTTCAAGTCTGGAATGGGGCTGAAGACTTTGCCTTTCTTTTTTTTTTTTTTTTTTTGGAGAGAGTCTTGTTCTGTCACCAGGCTGGAATGCAGTGGCGCAATTTTGGCTCACTGCAATCTCCACCTCTGGGTTCAAGGGATTCCCTTGCCTCAGCCTCCTAAGTAGCGGGTACTACAGGCACCCACCACCATGCCTGGCTAATTTTTTGTATTTTTAGTAGTATTTCACCATTTTGGCCCAGATGGTCTCGAACTCCTGATCTCATGATCCACCCAACTCAGTCTCCCAAACTGCTGGGATTACAGGCATGAGCCACCGCGCCCAGCCAAGACTTTGCCTTTCTAACAAGCTGCTGGTGATGCTGATGCCACTGGCCCAGGACCACTTCTAAGGTCCTAGGACAGTGGTTCTCAAACTCATCTGCAAATTAGAGTTAGCTGGGCATCTTTTCCAAAACCCAGATCACACCCCAGATCAACTCTCTGGAGGGCCAGAGAATGGCGCCGCTGAGGCCAAATACACTTGGAGTTCACTGGCTGCTGTCTGAGTGCAGGTGCTGCTCCAGGTGCTGGGTGCAGAGTAGCCCATCCTCTTGGAGTTTACAGCCCGAAAAGGGAGGTGGATATTAAAGGGGCCTAATCAATAAACAGGAGGAGTCTAGATCAGGGAAAGCTATAGAGGAAATAAACAGTAATAAGAGAGAGAAATGGGCCTGGCATGACGGCTCATGCCTGTAATCCCAGCACTTTGGGAGGCCGAGGCGGGCGGATCATCTGAGATCAAGAGTTTGAGACCAGCCTGGGCAACGTGGTGAAACCTCACCTCTACTAAAAATACAAAGAAAAAACTTAGCTGGGCTTGGTGGCGGGCACCTGCAATCCCAGCTACTCAGGAAGCTGAGGCAGGAGAATCACTTGAACTCGGGCGGGAGAGGTGGCAGTGAGCCGAGATGGCACCACTGCACTCCAGCCTGGGCGACAAGAGCAAAACTCCGTCTCATTAAAGAAAAAAGAGAGAGAGAGAGAGAGAGAGGGAGGGAGAGCCAGAAAATGGAGGAGGCGGCCACTTCAGATTGGGGGGTCAGGAAAACCTCTCAGAGGATGTGACCTTGAGCTGAGACATGAGGACTGAGAAACAGCCATTCATGAAAGGAGCCAGGAGATGGCGTTCAGGCAGAGGCAAGAGTAGAGGTCTGGAGGGGAGGAGTGAAGGGGAGTGGCAGGAGAGCAGGGAAAGGAGGGCCCATCTGGTGCCTCAGCCCTCACCTGTCAGAGCACAGAGCTTGGCCTATCTGGGTGAGGCTGTGGTCTCCAGCCTCGAAAAAAGGAAAAAAAAGAAAAAGGGAAGGTGTATTCTCATGACACCCCCGGGAAGGGCAGCCCCCACCCCTGCCATCAGTATCACCCAGGAGCTCAGCCCCAGTTCCTGGTTCTAAACCAAGCAGTACAGGTAGCGGGAGAGAGGAGAGCCCCAGAGGGCGGGCGGGGTAGAGATCAGACACCTACCTCTGGCTGACAGCTTCTTGGTGTTGATGATCTTGGCAGCGTACTCTTGGCCAGCCAGCACCTTCACACACCTTCGCACCACCGAGAACGCTCCCCTAGGAGGACAGAGAAGGTGGAAAGGGTGAGGGAACGCCCAACGCTATGTCCCTAGGAGATGTTGGTGGTCACGTGGCTGCTCCAAGCTAAAGGGAGCCCTTCATCAGAGCTGCTCAAGCTCACAGGGGCTTCTGTGGCCCAACTCAGGGACAGAGGCCAGAGAGACCCAGAAGATGGCCCCAGAAGCAGATTAGAAGCTTGGCCTCCAGTGAGAGGAGCTGCCAATGTTATGAAAGTTGGGGTCACCGTGCTGTAAAACATTAGAATCATGTAGTGTTAGAACCACAGAATCCGTGTCTCTGAAAGTTTTTAGTTTTTTACTCTCTGAGTAGGTAATACATGGACACGGTTCCAAGTTCAGAAGATACAAAGGTATAGGTAGTAAACGGACTCCTTCCCACGCCCATACTGCAGCCTCTGACGTCCCCTTCCCCGGGATGACCACGGTTACCATGTCCTTAGTCTCTTTCCACAGACGGTGTCCCACCCATGAGTGGTACTGGACTTTGTATACTGTTCTCCACCTTCCTTTTTTCAGTAGATAATATATTTTTGGAGATCCTCATTCCATAAGAGTTCCTTGTTACTTAGTCTGTGATTGTATGGCTGTCCGATCCTTTATTCAGCCAGTCCCCTGCTGATGGGCGCTCAGATCAGTTTCCATCTATAACCGTCACAAACAATGCTACAAAGATTAACCGAGTATGTGTGCGTTTGAATTATATCTCCTTTGTATGCATGTGTCTGTGTGGGATACATTTCCAGAACTTGTGTTATCTGGTCAAGGGGGAGGTGTTGTTTGCTGATTTTGATGGATAATGAGAGACTGTCCACACTAAAGATTGTACCAACTCAATTTCCCACTAGCATGCAAGGGGACCAGTTCCTTTACCCTTGTTGACACAGTGTATTACCCAACTTTTTTTACTAGAGAGAAGGTGGAAAATGGCAATTTGCTGTAATTTAATTTCTAGTTGTCATATTAAGAGTGAGGCTGAGCATCTTTTCATGTTTTAAGAGGCCCTTGGAATTTTATCCTCAAACTATTAGTAATTAGAAGAGAACGTGGGGCAAGGGCTGTGAGTTTTCCTGCTCACAGGGGAAAATATTGTCGCCATGTAGAATGTGGCCCATTTCCTACTTCATTTGATTTTTCAGGAAAAACTACAAGTTTAGATATTGATGAGAAATTGCCCAAATTTTAAACACTGCCACCTGTTCCAAAAGAATTTGAGGATGGCATTAGGCCAAACAAAACTGTCTAAGGCTGGATCTAGAGTCTAGATGCCATTTTGCACTCTGCCACAAAAACCATGTGGTCCAACCTCTTTGTATACAGAGAAGAGTCCTAAAGGGCCTGATACTGACCAAGGTCACCACTATTGCCACCCTAACACCATGCTAATGGCAAGAAGAGTCTCCTGGGCAGGCTTCCCAAACCTAAATGTCTGTGGAAATCACCCAGGCACCTTGTTAAAATGCAGATTCTGGGCCGGGCGTGGTGGCTCAAGCCTGTAATCCCAGCATTTTGGGAGGCCAAGGAGGGTGGATCACAAGGTCAAGAGATCGAGACCATCCTGGTCAACATGGTAAAACTCCGTCTCTACTAAAACTACAAAAAATTAGCTGGGCATGGTGGTGAGTGCCTGTAATCCCAGCTACTCGGGAGGTTGAGGCAGGAGAATTGCCTAAACTCAGGAGGCGGAGGTTGCGGTGAGCCGAGATCGAGCCATTGCACTCCACCCTGGGTAACAAGAGTAAAACTCCGTCTCAAAAAAAAAAAAAAAAAAAATGCAGATTCTGATTCTTTGAGACTTTGAGCTCCAGTGTAGCTCAGTGTAGGTTGCTCAAGATCACATGGTCCCTAACAGGCAGAGCTGCATCTAGAACTCAGATGTTAGCACTCCGTATGACTTCCACACCAAGTAAGCCTTCCACCTCCTGGCATGCAGAGCCATGCCCAGGTTTTTGGCATGGCTTCACCCATCACATTCTCCAAACTTGGATCCCCCATCCCAAGCTTATGGGCACCTCTGAGCACACAAAAAGAGGAGGCCGACAAGGTAGAGGAGGATGCTGGCAGGCACTGAGGAGGCCTGCAGGCTAGCACAGATGCCTGCTCTGCACACCGCCCTGAGCACTGGCTTCATGTCTGGGCAGCAGGAAATGAGCGGCTGGGAAACTGAAGAAGGATGAGGAGGAAGGAGCCAGGATACGGACTAGAGACCAAGAAATATAACCTTGTATGACAGCTAGAGAGGGCCAGAATTCATGGGCACACAGAGGGTCTCGTGCAGCTGTGGGTCCTTCTTGGGGTGTGCAGCCTGCCCACATGCTACCAGGAAGAAAGCAGCAGGACCCCAAGCTCTTCCCAGAGACTCTCCTCTGCCATGCGGCCCCTCCTCCATGCTTCCAGAGCACCTCTGCTTAGAAAAAAATTCACTTTTCTTCCATCATTCCCACACTTCTGGCCACCAGCTCTGGAGAGTTTTTTTTTTTTTTTTTTTCACACCGACCGATTCTCTGGACACCAGTTGGGTATTCTATAATTCAATTATGAAACTAACTACCTAGAGTTAGTCCAGACCTCACAGGCTAAGGGCTAATTCCCATAAGACAGTCCCCTTGCTTCAGATGCCAATCACAAAGAGTAGGTTATCAGGTTACCCACAGCCCCCTCCTTTTATAATTTTCTATGATGGCTCACAAAACTCAGAGAAACGCATACTTTTACCGTGTGTGTGTGTGTGTGTGTGTGTGTGTGTGTGTGCGCGCACGCACGCGTGCGTGTTTACAATAAAGGTTATGGTAAAGGGTAGATGAACAGCGAGATGAAGAGGGGCATAGAGCAAGGTCTGGAAGGATCTTGAACACAGGAACTTCTGTCCCCATGGAGTTGGGGTGTGCCACCCTCGAGGCATGTGGATGTGTTCACCAACCCAGAAGGTCTTCGAGCTCCATATTTAAGAGTCCTTTATGGAGGCCTCATCACTAGGTACGATTGATTATTAACTCAATCCCCAGCCCCTCTCCTCTCCCTGAGAATGGGGGGAGGGGCTGAAAGTTCCAAGCTTCCGATCATGGTTTGGTCTTTCTGTGACCAGCTCCCACACAGGCACCCACCCAAAGCTGCCTCATTAGAACAAAAGATGTTCTCATCACCCAGGAAATTCCAAGGCAGGTGGGACCTCCAAGTCAGGAACTGCGTTCTAAGACCAAATATTAGAACAAAAGACACTATTAGTACCCCCAAGAGTTTGGGGAGCTCTGTGTCAAGAACCAGGGAAAATGACCAAATGTATATTTATATATTTCTTATTACATCATAATATCATAACCCTACATCTACACCAGTTCAGATTGGTGGTGGCTCTTCCTCCTGTTTCTCTCTCCCACCCTGACAGTATCTGAGGGCCAGGACTTTCCCTTTCTTCTCTCTGCTCCCAGTGGTTGACTACCCAGTGTCTGGTGCCAATAGAGCCTCCGTGAGTGTTACTTGCAGGACCAGGAGGTGGATTTCAGCAAGAGTGAGGGAAACTGACATGAGACAGGAGAGGAAATTTTCAGATGGTATGTTAGGAAGAGGAAAAGGCATCTAAGGAAGGTCAGGGACAACTGGTCTCTCAAAGGTGTCCGCCCTACCCAGGCATGGGGATGGACCCAAAGACCTTTAGGTCCCCGTCTAGCTGGGGGCCATGATCCTCAAAAGCCCTTTGAGAAAAAGTGTTGAAAGTGGCCATATCTGGGTAAGGTTCTGAGAACTCCAGGAAGAGAAGGGCGGAAGGCAGGGAAGGTTTTAAGCTCCAGAGTGCAGGAGCTGGGTCTTGTCCTGCTCAGCAGCAACTGCCAAAGCTTGGTCCAAAGCTAGAGCTCAATTAATATGTGTTGGGTGGATGAGGGAATAGAGGGAGGGATGGTTGGACAGAGGGAGGGAGGGATGAAGATAATTTCTCCGTTAGAGAGGCAAAACGCCCTTCTAGGTAAAGACCTTAGATCAGTGGTTATCAAACTGGCTGCCTCAGACTCCCCTGGAGGATCTCTTATTTATATTTTTCCTTTTTTTGAGACAGAGTATCGCTTTGTCACCCAGGCTGGAGTGCAGTGGCATGATTAGCTCACTGCAACCTCCACCTCCTGGGTTCAAGCGATTCTCCTGCCTAGCCTCCCAAGTAGTTGAGACTACAGGTGCATGCCACCACTCCTCATTAGTTTTTTGTATTTTTAGTAGAGATGGGGTTTCACCATGTTGGCCAGGATGGTCTCAATCTCCTGACTTTGTGATCTGCCTGCCTCGGCCTCCCAAAGTGCTGGGATTGCAGGCATGAGCCACCAGGCCCAGCTGGATCTTTTTTTAAAAAAAAAAAAAAAAACACAGATTCTGGGGAGTGGTGGCCCATGTCTGCAATCCACGCACTTTGGGAGGCCAAGCTGAGAGGATCACTCGAGCCCAGGAGTTTGAGACCAGCCTGGGCAACGTGGTGAAACCGCATCTCTACTGCTGGGAGTGGTGGTGCACGTCTGTGGTCCCAGCCATTCAGGAGGCTGACGTAGGAGGATCACTTAAGTGCCGGAGGCGGAGGTTACGGTGAGCTGAGATTGCATCACTGCATTCCAGCCTGAGTGACAGAGTAAGACTCCGTCTCAAAAGAAAAAGTAAGCAAATTCCAAGGCCCCACCCAGACCTCCTAAATCAGTACGTCTGGGTATAGGCCCAGGAAATCTGCAATTTCATTTTAACTCCATCTAGGGGTGATTCTTTCCCAGGGAGCCCAGCACTGCCCAATGCCTTCCAGGGAAGTCTTGCCGCATATCCTGCCTCCCTTGGAAATCAGCCCAGGTGGGGGCCAGTGAGCGCTCTGTGCAGGGAGGCCTGACCGGCCCATGAGCCTGGGCCCTGGCTCGGTGAGCAGAGGCCGTAAGAGCCACGTCTGTAAAACAAGAGAAGCCACACTTGCTAAACTTCCTCTTCAGAACAGCAGCAAGCTTTTCTGTAAATCAG